TGGGGAGCATACAGAGGTGGGTCTAGAAGAGAAAAGAGATGATCAAGCTTCAATATCAATCAACAAAACAAGGAGTGGAAATTTTAAACACACCAAGAGAGATGGATAAGAAGTACTCAAGGTTGCATAGGAAAGAAAGGTGTTAGGGGAATGAGCGAAAAAAGAAAGATGGAATCAATCCTTGAACTATGCACAATCATAAGGTAAAACCCTAATATACTCCCTAATCAAAATTAGTTTAAAATGGAAGAAAAATTATAAAAAATTGAGCCAATTAAAACTTAACTTTCTAAAGCCTTTGTAAAATTCTGAAACATGATTAGTATTCCTTGGATTAATTTGAGGGGCTAGAAATGATTAGGAATTTCCAAGATTAGTTAATAAGAGGGTCAAACTAGAGAGTCTTAGTATAATATTTGTGAAAAAAAATGTAAAATAAAAATTTAAAATTTAACAAAAATTATTTTTGTTATTTTAATTCATCCAAGGATATTAGACATATTTTCTTTGATTTTTACAAGTAAAAGAAATTAGGTTTTAAAATATTTCTCAAGACCTAAGCAAGAATAAAGGTTAAAAACCAAAATTAATTTCTAAAATTTAGAAAGGAAAGGAAATTGGATTATAAATTCAATTAAAAACAAAGAAAATTAGATTAATACCTAAGAGTCATTAAGATTATTCTTATGGAATTTTATTGTTAAAGAAAGATATCAAAAAAAAATTATTTGCACAATATGACAAAAAAAAGTAAAGAAAATAATATTATTGAAGATTGATTTTATTTTCTTATCAAGAATTTTTATAAAATCAAAATATAATTATTTTCATGAAATGCTCTCAAAATGGAACCTAATATTTTTTTTTTTTGGGATTTTTCATATTAGTACAAATTGAAAAATAAAATTCTAAAAGTTAAATGGTGAGAAAAACCTTAATTTGATTAATTGCATTATTTAATTTTCTAAAAAAAATGATAAAAGGAAATAAAAATAAGAATTTGAAAATATAGTAAAAAATAAGCCTAATATATTTTTTTGATAATTTTTTAGTAAGAGAAAATATTTATAAAAAAAAATAAGAAAAACATTTAAAAATGTATTAAAAATTAAAAAAAAAACTAAAATCAATTACACTTGTTAAAATCAAAAAGTGATGTAAAATATATTAAATTCATGTTCAATTAGCGCGCCATGTAGTCGTCCCTGCCACAGAGCCATGCCCTAACATATTTTGTCCAGCTTTTCATGCTTATTTCAAATTATGATATATCCTTCAATTCTTGATGAAAACGCACGAATTCGTAATCAAATTAAAGATCTCATGGAGTAGATCAACGTAGGATCAAAGATTTTTAAGAATGGTTCATGAATCAGGGAGAAAAACGCCACGCGAAAACCACTGAAATCAACATATCATGAACATGTAGAAAACAAAATTGAACCAAGTTACTTCAGATCCATCGATCTCTCTCGTTTCTCCACCAAATCCAAAGATCCAAACGTCAAAGCTCATCAAAAAATTGCAAGGAAAAAGATTATACTATTAGTTTATTAAATATTTGCAAGATCAAAACAAAATTTGATCATGAAATCACTGTATCAAGCAGTTTAAACATGAATTCAGATTGAAATGCAAGCACGAATTTAAAATAAAGTTCATGAATAACTTACCTTGAGTGAGTGAAAAATAAATTCACTCTATGCCTCTGAAATTGAAAGGAAATCCTATGAATCTCTCTCAAAATGGAGAGAGAAGTTTGAACTATGAAAATAAGTTTCAGATGGCTTTGGTGCGAATACTGATCCAGGACCTTGAAATGAGAATGAATGGGAGTTTATATAGAGAAAAGAAGTATGTTGAGGAAGCTTGCTTAAGGCTAGGAAGGTCTTTGCAGGCTTGAAGATCGTTGGAGGAAAGTTACATTACAGCTTGCAAATTTGAGTGAAGGATTATGTGGCATGCGTTTTGTGTGGTTTCATCCTAGTCTTCACAGTTGTTTTGATGAGAATTTTAGGATGAAAATGAAATGGAAAAGGTATTATTAATGAGCTGTCCCTATCTACACATGGGTGATTTTTAAAGAAGATATTTTTTCCAAAAATGGTAAGTCACGATAGCATGAGTTCCATGTTTAGGCGGTGTGCCAATTAACTTGTTTTGGTAAGAAAAGTGAAGGGTACGCGTGCCAACCATGTGACTGAGGTCAAACTAAAACAAAATTATGCAAAAATGACCTAATGTGGACCTTTGATCAGATGACTTATGGCTTAAACAACTCTGAGCTTATACGTGCAAATTTGGTTCTTGAGAGGCCTCTAAAAAGATCTCATGATAAGCTTCATCATGAAGCTTTGAATTACTGAGAATGTTGCTTGTATCATGGAGAAATTAACGTGTGAAGTTTTGGAAAAGAAGAGCCTGTCAGGCCAGGTCACGCGCGCGTGCATGGCTTATACGTTGGAAGTTTTTCCAGCTTGAAGAACAACATTCAAACCCTATTATCTCATTCAATAATGATCCAAATTGAGTGATTCAAAAACCAATTTGTAGCTTACATTCCCAATTACAACTTCTTTTTGAATTTCATTTTTAGTTATCACTTATATTAAGAAACAAAGCATCATGAATAGGGGCACACCAGGTGTTTATGAGAATATTGGCCTGGGCGTGCAAGCATGACTTGTCACTTGCCAACTTTATGCCCTAAACTCCTAAGCTCAATAACTCACAAATACTTCATTTTTAGGACTTGAACACACATTGACATTCTTGTAGGGTTTCTCTCAAGCTTTCCAAGCATGTAGGGTTTGCCTTCATTGGATAAAAAATGAGAAAGTTATGAATGTCCATAATTCATTACTATATAGACTTAGGACTTGGGAAATTTTCTAAGTGTCCAAATACCTTCTTGAACAAGTTATCTCCAATTTGATCTTTTTCCTTGGTTTTATGACACCAATGATCATAGAATATGAAAATAGGATACTTGAATTGATGGTTGACCAAAAGTCCACTTGGTCAACTGAACTTTGATTGACCCATAGGCAAAATGACTATTTTGCCCCTTTTGATCAATTAAACTTCTTTTGCCCAAAATTGGCACCCAATCTTTCAATCATAGATGCTTATCAACATGTTGAGAGGCGTGGAATTAAGTCTTGCTCAAAAACTGAGATACTTCCTGATTAAAATCAAAACCCTAATTTCAGCCCTCTGTGTTAAGCGATAGTGACCAGTCTTCAAAGCCCTCATTCTCCTAGACAAATTGAGAAATTCTTTGAACAAAGATGTCTTATATGATGATGAAAAGGTAATACTTCAGACATTTGTCTTTTACAAGCCTCAAACTTTTCAACTGATCAAAACCCTAATCTTGAGAGGTAAATAGTGGAAATGTGATTCTTCTCCAAACATTGCAAACTTCCAGCTTCTAATGATCATATGGGACAAATGAGATGTCTTACAATACCAAAAACCTTTGTAGCTTGAGAGAATTTAAAGATTGAAGATATGAGATCCTCTTTTGCATTGATTTGACCAACCAAACATCTTCTATAGCTTGTAGAAGAACTTGGGAACCAAGATACCCTAATCCTTACCATGAAAATGTATGAAGAATATGTATGATGAAGCATAAGTCATGTTACTAAAATGAAGAGGGTAAATTTTGAGATGCAACAGTATGCATACTATGTTTTTGGATATTTTCCAAATTAATAAAGTTTGATATTCAGTAATTTATATTTTGTACAATAAAGTTGTTGAATGATCTCACTAAAGTAAAGCAGGACCAATTGAAAATCGACATATACAGACCAATTTCATGTGATTTTCATGCTACACATTTCATGATGGATCAATGTCATTTAGTTGTCACTATTGGTGATCATTGATGAGTTTAGTTATGATTGCTATAACAAAAATCACTTTGGTTTTGAATAGTGATATTATTAATGGACGAGATAATTTAGACATGCTTAAGGAATATAGTGGAAAATTTTGAGCTAATAAAGTTTAATATCATGAAAGATAATATTATTGTGTAGATACTATAAGTCGATATCTAATTTGATGAGAGGTCAAATTATAATATTGAAAACCAAGAAATAACCCTAAGGTTATTTATAGGGATTTATGGTCCTATTTGTAGATAATGAAAAAAAAACTTATTAGAAATAATCCTAAGATTATTTATAGGGGTTATGGTCCCAATTCAATATCACTAATTTAAAAAAAATATGAATTTTACCGAAAATTTTGAAAAAATATCAAAAATTTTGAAATTTCCTACCGAAATTTTTTTTTATACCTGAAATTTCACTACATATAATCGTTCGAAAATTCTTTTCATCTCACTAAAGATATTTCTAAAAATAATAAAAATGGAAGATACCAGATTCAACTATCGAGTGACAAGTTAAAACTTCAAAAAATCATGAGAACATAAGCCCACGTTATAGAAATGGGCCCCCAAATCATGCAAAGCCCAGACCAGACCCACTTCCTACAAAACTCAAACGAGTCCTTAAATCCAAAAAAGGTAAACAAACAAACAACCAAACAAAATTCAGAAACATATAAAAGAAAAAGCATACGAGTCTTTTAATGATAAAAGTGCAATGAATAGACCTATAGAAAAAGAAAACAAGAAGAACGTGATAGATAGTTCAGTTTCGTCACCTTTAACTCAAATCGTAGATACCTCCATATCATAATATCCAGCACTTAATGAATTTAAAACAAAACCGGTAAACCTCATTTAATTATATAATAAATAACCACAACAATAATATTAATAACATTAATCAGCCACTTCAAATCACTTTGAATTTCTAGAGAGAGTGAGATAACAGTGAACACTAATCATGATTAACAAACACTTTTCTAAAATTAAATATAACAAAACAATTTTAATTCTACTAATCTAAATTACTAGAATTTATTTACCTTTTCATTCAACAACGACAACTACAAATTCTTTCATTCACATTTTCACTTCATCCATTACCGCGCGTCGGCGAAGATAACGGTGTATAATAAGGTGTCGCACACGGCGTCGTTTTATTCAACAACTCTTCAACTTCCAAAACAACCTCATCATCTTCCACAACCACATTTCCACTCTCACTCAAACGCGTGTTCTCCACCGCCACCGCCACCGCCACCGCTCTCTTCACCGTAACAACACTACATTCCGTCAAAGAGCCACTCTCCGAATCAACTCCTTCTCTATCCTCCTCCTTGATCGTGAAAAGAACTCTGGATTCACCGTTTATACACTGCCACTTCGCAATGTGCTGCTCAAGCTCTTCCTCTAGCTCACGCTCCCGTTGATCGGGTGAAGACGGTGGAAGAGATGGTTGTTCTTGTGGCTCTGCGCGGATGCGAGGACGGAGTTTTAGACGGCGTTTGTATAAGACGTAGAGGATCTCGACGGCGAGGGCGGTTAGAGTAACGGCCGTTAGTATCGTGATCGTTGTTCCGAAGTTGTTTAGACCCATCATAGTGATGATGAAAAAAAATGCACGCCCGATATATAATGTTGGTTTGTGATTTGATTTTGTGTGTGTGGGTGGTTTGGTATTGTCGTTTGGTTACAAAACGGCATAATAATAACTACATGTAATGATCAAACAGGAAAAATTCGAAATGATAGTTTAACGGGAAAAAATGGAAGTGAAGAAAATTAAAAGATGAGAGCTAAAAAAAATGTTAAATTTAGAAAAAAGAAAAAAAGTCTCTCTATTATAGCACAAACATTTATAAAAATAAACTCAAAAATATTTATAAATAATTTTTAAAAAATGACTTTTAAAATAAACGGATAAATGGTGTGTGTTTCATAATCCTCAACTTCATATTAATATTCTTAGTAACCTCCCAACAAACAGTATCATGAACTTTGGTTTCGAAAAAGGAACCGATTTGTCTCTGGTTTCGAGAAAGAAATCGATTTACTTGCATCAAAATAATCAAGAAGAGGTGTCTTGTTGTAAAGTGTCAACGACGGTAGAAGTATCTTGATGGGAGTATTGTGGAGTCACACTTGAGGCATTATGGACTCACAATTGAGAGAGAGAGAGAGTGTGTTAGAATAATAATACAAGTGTGACTAAGTGGAGAAATAATTCCACAATGGATAAGAATATGAAGACTTGAGCATATATAAAGGGAAGAATTCACTCATCTATCATCTTAAAGTTTTAGGTGGACAAGTGATGTATCTCTCACAAAAAGTGTATAGTCATACACTATGTATCAATGCTCCTAGTAACTCCTCCAATAAATAGTATCATGACTTACAAAGGTGCATAATCTTCAACTTTATATCAATGTGCCTAGTGAACTCTTCCAACAACTTTTAAAAAATATCACAAATTTTATTCAAGTAAAGAGATTAATTACTATGCATTATTTGTATAAAAAATTATACACTATCAGTTTATCAACATCATTATATTTTAATTAAATTCTATTAAAAAATAAGCATGTCATCAGTTTTCTTTGTAAACATAATCGAAAGAAATCAAAAAATATTTTTGAAATTTTAAAGATAAAAACAAAAATGACATATCGTTAAAAAAATGAATATCTCATTAAAAATGAGCATATAATTAATTTTAATTGAAAATATACGAATGACTAGAATTATTTAAAATTAAAATAAATAAATTAATTCCGTAAGTTAAAAAAAATGGAGAAAAATAAGAAATATATAATTTAAAAACAGTTTCAGTATATGCCGATCATATGATCCAGGCTACCCGTAAACTAGGAAAAACAGTTAAGCAACATTACAAATATTACCCTCCATAATTGTTACGTTTCCTCTTATATTTATCCATACCCATACTAACTCTATCATTAATGTCTCCTAGTTTAAGCTCCTCTTTAGTTTTGTCTTGGAAGATAATGAGGTTACGAATTATCCATAAGTTGTACACCGCTTCAGCAAAAGTTACTTTTATCTTTTTACATTTCAGAGATTTGCCTTTAGTCATGTTTATGAACCACTCTAGATTCCACTGTCCATTAATCGGCCTTTGGTGCACTAGAACCCAATCAAATAATTGATTCCAAAGATTCTTCGCAAAATCACAGTCGTAGCAAAGATGCTTAATGCTCTCCTGCAAACCACAAAACACGCACAATCCATCAGTATTCATGCCAAATATGTTAAGTCTGTCTTTGTTTAGGAGTCGCCCAAGGCAAGCCATCCAAGCCATACAGATTGCTCTAGGTCTGGCCTGATTTCCCAGGGTAATCTTTCTCCAACTCATTTTCATCTTGTCCCCTCTCAACATATCGTACACTCCCCTGGTACTGTATATGCGAGTATCTTTGAATTTTTCCCACTTATCTGAATTCATCAGCAGGTATTTGTTCTTGAAGATAGCTTTCAAACTCCAGGAACTATGGATGAGGGGTTGATACTCTTTACAACTGATGCCTTTCATATAGAAATGATGGATCTAATTAATCCACAACTTGTCCTTTTTTGCATTCAGATTCCAAAGCATTTTACCAATCGTAGCCTGGTTCCAATCCATGAGAGATATCATATTAAGGCCACCGGCTATTTTCGGGTTACACTCCTGATCCCAAGCCACATGCACCTTCTTTGTTTTAATGTCACTCCCAGTCCACAAAAACCTTCTACGCATGGCCTCTATATGGTGAATAATTTTTTTGGGGAGAGAAAATATTTGCATCCAGTAGTTGGCTATGGCAAATAGCACACACTTCACAAACAGGAATCTTCCAGCATAAGAGAGGATCCTTGTACTGCAATGGTTGATCCTGTTGAGCATCTCGTCAATAAGGGTTTACACTCCAACACAATTAGCTTCTTGCTGTCAAGGGGGACTCCTAGGTATTTGACAGGGAGAACACCTCTAGCAAAGCCAGTTTCTTGTTGGAAAATCTTGATATTGTCTTCCTCTATTCCTCCACAGAATATCTTGCTTTTCTGAATGCTGAATGTTGTACCCCAAAATTTTCCCTCCATCTCTCAAAGATTTTTCTCACAAAATTTCCACTAATCAAGGTTGCACAAAATTTTCTTTGATTGAGCACCTAACCTCCTTCAAGCTTGCCTCAAATTTACAAGCTTCGATTGGAGCCTTGGCCTTTTGCTTATTTGCTATACACAAGCTTCGACTGGGCATTTGTTTCCTTTAAAACAGCCTCCTTCAATTCAAAAGGGAAGGGCCTCCTGTTGGTGTCCTTCGATTCAAAAGTTGTTGGCTTCTTACTAGTTTCTTTCGATTCAGAAGGTGTTGGCAATGACCTCCTGCAGCTTTCCTTTGATTCAGAAGACAAGTGCCTTCTCTATGCTTGCCTTCAATTCACAAGGTAGGAACTTCCTTCATGCCAGCAGGCACAAGGCAATGGCCTCCTGCATACATCCTTCGGTTGCACCATTGGCTTTACATGCTTGTTTGATTCACAATTAAATGGTTACCTGGATGCCTGCTTCGATTGAGAAAGGGTCTCTACAACTTTGTCTTGATGACTACCTGTATGCAAGCTTGATTTCTGCTTTGACTGGGCAGTATCTCCCTTGGAAAGTTTGTTTCGATGCACATATTTTTTACTTTGTTGGCCCATTCGAAGGAATTGCAAGTGATGCACACAAGTGGTCCCTTCAAAAGAGCACACACATTGGTTTAAAACGAAGGATACACATATTGCTGGCCAAAATGAAAGAGAAATATGCAATGATGTTGGTTGGCCAAAATCCCACATATTGCCATACTCAAGCTCCCTGCACAAGCATTCATACTGAAGGAAGCTTTGATTAGCCTGTAAAGAGTTTTCGTTGGGGATAGCTGAGTAGGGGCTCAATCGAAGGGGCCCCAATCATAATACTTGAACCATTCAAAGGACACACATTGGTGGTCCATTCAAAGAGGGTACAAGGCATACATATGGACTATTTGAAAGATACTCAAAAAGTCCATTCGAAGGTGGCAACCAAAGGCCCATTCGAAGGGTACACAAAAGATCCATTGGAAGGAGGCAACTAAAAAGGCCCATTCGAAGGGTACACAAGAGGTCCAATCGAAGGGCAAGGACTGAAGGTATTAGAAAGTCAAAGGTGTCCATATTCATTCAAGTTCAAAAAGAGACAATAATCCCATGTCTTTTGCCAAAATTCAAATTCTCATTCATGGCCTTAAAGAACATGTTTATGGTTGTTTACTACCTTGCTACCCTGTTGTTGTACCCCAAATTTTCCCCCTAAGATCCCTTCATCATACCATGTTGATTCAATCACAACAAGATCACATCAGAGCTTTTGGTTCTCCCCCTATCTTTAGCTTTTCTCTTTGAGGAATCACCAAGCACCTTGAATTGTTTTCTTTTGTGATCATGAATATTTTTTCTTGATTTTTATTTTAATTAATACAATGCAATGTTGGTTTGTCTTACTTGTTAATAATGTAGGTAAAGGCAATGAGGCTTAGCAAGTTGCTCCTTGGGTTCAGGAGTTTATTTCCATGCCCTAGTCAATAAATATTGAGAAGTCCAAACCTCACCATTGAAGTTATTTTGGAAGGGATGGCATGGCAAGGTTATTTTGGTTCACTACATTTCCAAGTTGTCAAGATTAATTCAAAAGTACAAGGGGTTGATTGAAAAAGTTGTCATGGTTGGACAAGGCCTTATTCCCATTGGCCACAAGTGCATATTTCTCTAAATTCTCAAGATATGGAAGTGGTTTTGGTGGCTATGAATTCTCATTTTCATCCTCAATAACTTCTATTTACAAAGCAAGAGTGTTGGTACAAGAAGGTGGTTCAAAATTGTCAAGGTTCCGCAAAGCATTTTCTTGATCTAGGAGCTAGGGTTTTGAACTTCAAAGAAGTATATCTTGCTCATATTTTGGTATTTTTGTGTGATTCCAAAGACATCCTTCTCTTTAAAGGGTTATTAACCAATTACTTCAAAATTTTCAAGGAGTTTTCATGTGGAAGAAACTTTATGATGAAGAAAGATTACAAGTCCTCTAGATGAACCCCCAATTTCTCATGTGTGACTTCAAATGATCATAACTTGGTCAATTTTTATCACCTTGGGCCAACTCTTTTTCCATAATTATCTTTAGAATGTGAACTTTATCTCTTATTTTATGTGCAAAGTGAGAAAAATGGATGGAAGATGCCCTAAGGATACAAAAGATTATAGGTCATTTCATGATTTTTTTGCCAACTTCAACAATTCACAACTCCATCAATTTTTGGAGATTTTGAATGGTTCAAGTTTCAAAGTGTCATTTAAGAGGTATATTTCATTCCATCTTCTTTGGTCAAGAGAAAATTCCAAGTGGAAGGCCATGTTTGGATGAAAAAACATTATAGGTCACTTTTGAAGAAAAATTTGAAATATTTCTAAGTATGGAAAGTCAACCCTTTTTCTCCAACTTTGACTCAATGCAACTTTCAGCTCAAACATCCATTTGACTCCATTCTTTTCACATTTCAAATATTGTAACCTCATC